ACTCATCTGTATTGCTGAAGCTTTGGCTATCGAAACAGAAAAGCCAGATCTCTATGTACAGAAAAAGTTCGTTCAACCCCTCCAACTTTCATGGTCTTAATCCCTCTATGCTAAAGTATGGTAATCCCCAATCATATTTTAGCTCCACCAATTTTTCATTTTTGTCTATTCAATTTGTATACTCTTCCTTATTACGTCAATTGTTACTATTACTACTCCCACTTTTAATTGTCCCCGGTATTATTTCACTTGTGCCACTTGTCATGCTAAGTCAATTCCTTTTTACAACATTAAATTTTATGCTATTAAATTTCACACAATATTACGCAACGTTTTTATTTTATTCGATTTGTCTACTAATCTTATAATTGCACACCCTTTTTCAAATTCTATCCATCCTATCAATTATTCTATATATGACATTAATTTGCTTTGCCATTTGACATTTAACTACGATTATAATCACAAACATTTTAGTTTTAATTGCATTTCATACTATCATTATTATTTTATGTATTCACACCTATGCTTCAATTCCCTCACCGGATATAACTTCTTAAATACGATATATATATATATACGATTGTACAGTTTGATGATAAATTCGTTGAATAGAGTCTCTTCGCTGAATCATTTGTTTTGATTTTCTATATGTTACAATGGGAATTTTCCATGATTTGAACTAGGTATTACCTTCAGTAGGAAGGTAAATTATAGATAGAATATAAGTAGCGGGAGAAGAACAAGATCAAACTGATAAGTCAACAGTGTATGGATTCATACTTAACACAAAAAAATAATCGCTGTAGAGAAATAACTTACACTGGTATTTCACACTTTGGAAAGGAACTCATGCAACCCAATGAGAAGATAAGCATATAGCGTCGTGACCACTGTATGTTTATAAATTATGATTAGTTTAGTTCTCTTTCACAAACCGGAATTGAATGTATTGGGATAAGTAGGCATCAAAGGGAAATACGACCTCCACAAAAGGCTACCTAATGATTGGTTTCCAACAAGTAATTGTCGAAAATATCCATTAGGTCATTAGAGAAAAAAGAACGTCAGAAGATATCTTATCAGCAATTTCGTTTTTTACATGTTTTATAACTGGGGGTGAGAAGAAATGAAGGACACTACTGGAAAATTAGACCAAAATTAATCCCATAGTACATATTTCTTGCTTGTCAGCGCATATAGCTGGGTAAAGAAGGAGGAAACACACTCTAAGTAGATATTCTCCCCTTTGTAAATGCTGACTCGGTTGAGACAAAGCGTTTGATGATTCTAGCACTTTTGACAGACCCAATTCGTCCTTTCAACAACCGTGGTGACTAGGATTCCTCAATTCTTTTTGAAACGATATATACATAGGACGATCTCCATACTTAGCTCCTTCAGAATGACCTTATTTCTATGACAGGATAATTTCAGTTTCAGTGCTGTTTGTGATAAATCCTCAACTCGAATTACGCTTGAGATCTTTAGGAAAACTAATTAAACTTAACATTTTCACTGTGTCCAATTAAATAGCTTAGTGTTGCAGTTCTCATCTGACTGACTGGTTGCAACACAGAACTTTGCACAGATATGCAGCAGTTCGAGTCGTCACACTTCACTCAGCACACAAAGCAAAAGAAAAAGGTAAGAAGAAATGGAAAATAGAGACAGTTAACAGAGATATGTGCGTCGGTGGCACAGTGGTTAGGACTCTCGCCAACCGTTGTCACATGCTGAAAATTTCATACTTGTACCGGAAATACTGTGTGGAATCAAGCTATAATCAAAATAAAAAATATGAGGCAAAAAGAATAGTAATATCGAAGAACCATATAGTTTTATTGGGTATTGTAAGTTCACAAATAGTGGATGCATCTCAGCCATCATCGAGAACAGTTTTGAGCCATAGCACCAATGGCTGCATACACGATCACAATATCCAGTGGCCCATGAATTCTAACCTATACCAAGTGCGACCGATGACCACTGTCATAGGTATCTATTCTTACGCTCAGCTTGATGGACCCCACCTTCCTATCAGAACTTCATTATGACCCGAGTAAACTCCAGCGTAGGTAACGGGTAATCTGGGTCTGGAACTAAAGGTCAGGGATACACTTTGCTGATGAACGCAAGTAATCCCTACACCCAAACTCAGGATATTTCAAATAACGACAAAATCTAAATAAAAGTAGTGTAGTAATTATCACTACATATCTTGAATCTATACATTTGTACAAGGCGCTGAAAGAAAAATGTTTCTACTGCATCAATGATAACACTTATCAGTGAACAGGATATCAACTATCAGATCACGATTAGCTATGATGACAGTATCGGCGATTCTGTTAATTACTTGAACACTGCCTGGAAATGGTTTGGTTACAAATAGGGAGCATTTGCAACATTAGGTTACATGAGTGCTCTGTAAATGTGTGTATGATCTAGCTTTTAGGGCTGATAAGCAATTAAAAAATCTTTCTTTTAATTATACAGAAATCTAAAGGTAGATCCTGACAGGACTGCAAATACGGACTTCACTGTATACAAATTAATCCAGTTTATTGAAATAACATTCATAAGCAAAACTTCTAACAAACCAATGTCATGTCTTTCATTGGACACTAGTAACTAGTGTCCAATCAAAGTACCCAACACACTCCTACAGGAAGGACGTCAATTGCGAGCCTGAATAGCTCAGTGGTAATGTCTCTGACTGAAGGCGGCACTGGGTGACGCGGGTTCGAATCTCGGAAGGGACATGAGTTCCTTCAAGGTTGCGGGTACACTTTGCTGATGAGTGCCAACCAGCACGAAAACTAGGTCAAAGGCTTCCTCCCGATTGCCTTTAACCATCTAACACCAACAGGTCAGTAATGTTATTTAGTAATCTGACAAACTTTCAACCCTTGTTAGACCTATGGGCACAAGTTCTTGAATTGGAACCAATTCCTCCCACTCTTCCATCCATTTCAATAATCTTAACGTTGTTGCAATAAACTCAGCTCGAAATCTTTGCTGTGGTTTATGGATGTGAAGATCTAGTTGTGACTACTAGCAACATTCGTTGAGTCTGACAACAGCATCCCACAGTGAAACAATATGAGGGAGGAGTATATTCTCTCGACCATTTTCTTGTTTGTTGAAATGCATAGCACACAAACAACCGTTTCTTATCAATGAAATTAAACAAGTGAACGATAAGCAATGCACCTTTGGTATGTGCACTCTACTACTACTACTACTACTACTGAAACATACCAACAAATCATAGTGCATTCAGGCGAATTAGAATAATTTATTTGGTATTTCGACTAACTTACCAATATTCATGTAACTGGGATGAAATATAATCGAACGGCTTGCAATCCATTCGGCAACCAGTTAGTTAGCAAGTGTATGATGAATGGCATACACCATATAATAAAACACCTCTACATGGTTGTTACACAGTCATAGAGTGTGCAACATGATCACTTCATAAAACTCTGTACCTAGGCGCGCTTACCACTGAGATGTACATTCACAATTTAGGTGACTCGTTTTTCCTCTCAGAACTACTGAATTCTGAGAAAGTGTCTGCTGTATGCAAGCCCCAGCTTAGTCTGAAAGAGGCGCTGAACAACATATTGCTTACTGAGTTAAACACTTGATGCTCAGCCAGAGCATTCACGGTTTTAAAGAACTAAGTGGTATATGATCAGTTTTTCAACACAATAAGTGTACATGCCAAAATCAGTTCCGTGAAAACAAGTTCAAGTTTACTGGTTTGATATATTCCCGGAAAGTCATGACAACGAATGCAAATTTCAAATTTATAAAGACATTAACTTAATGCAGGCCTTCGACAGCGTCGATCGAGAGGTGCTTTGGCAACTACTTCGCTACTACAGGGTGCCACCGACAATTATACATCTCATCCACCAGTTGCACGAGAATGATGCATGCCAAGTAATCCACAACGGGAAACTTACGGAATCCTTCGAAGTGAGGACAGGAGTAAGACAAGGCTGCCTACTATCGCCAATGACTTTCCTGATTGCAGTAGACTGGATAATACGACAGACAGCGGGCCGGTCAACGAGGATAGAGGCATAAAATGGACCCACACAAAAAACTTGGATGATCTGGATTTCACCGATGATATATATCTGATGTCTCACAAACTGGAAGATATGCAAGTGATGAAAAGCATTAAGAAGAAGCATCCAGAGAAGATATGATTTCCTTCAGGTGAACATAGAGAAAACAGATAAGGTGATGAAGATTACTGGCCAACGGAAACAGCAACAGTAACAACATCAGACAACAATCAGCATAAATGGGAGAAATCTGAAAGAAGGAACCTTCTTTACCTATCAACCTGAGAAGCATCGTTCCAACTACAGGCGGAACTGACGAGGATATCAAGGCGAGGATCGGGAAAACAATGCAAGCTTTCACTACTCTCAAGTCTGTGTGGAGGTCAACAACACTCAGCATCAAAAATAAGGTCCCCACTTTAAACTCCAGTGTGAAGTCAGTGCTACTATACGGATCAGAGACTTGGCCAGCGCGTCATAATAAGCACATCAAACAAACTACAGACTTTCATCAACAGCTGTCTTCGCTCAATACTACTCAAGGTCAGATGGCCGGCCAGAAAATATCAGCAACAGGGATCTCTGGGAGCGAACCAACACAGAAAGATACGATTATGCAACAAATAAGCGGAAAGAAATGGAGGTGGATTGGCCATACTCTGAGAAAACAAATCATCAAGTGACATCACTAGACAAGCCATTGTTGGAGTGGAACCCGAATGGGAAGCGGCGAGTTGGTCGTCTGTGCGAGAGTGACTTGGAGGAGGTCGTGTGAAGAGGAGATGAAAGCGTGTGGGCAGACTTGGAACCAGGTGAAGACTCTAGCAGAGAACCAAACGCAGTGCAGACGCGTGGCTGAAGCCCTATGTTCCTCTAGGAATTAAAGGAAACAATAATAATAATAAACTTAATGCATCTGCTTTTGGAGCTACTAAAGAAACCTGCAAGCGGTCAAGAAAAGTCCCTACTCCCTAGAGGAGGATATGAAAAAAAGCAAAACGAGGGAGAAATGAGATTCATGTTTCTTCTTTCTTTTTTTCATTCTTTGCGCTTTAACAACAACAACACCAAAAAAGAAAAAAATAAATAAAATAAATGATATTACAGATCGTTTCTACACCGTAAACAAACAAACAAAAAAAAGGAGAAATAGGCAACTTTGTGCATTAATATCAGTTCATTGATAATAATAGTTATTATTAACTGAGGGTTTACAAAACAAGCATAAAGAGGAATATTACTAATTAATAAGAAGAAAATGACAGAAATAAAAATCACAATGATACAGGAAAAGAAAAAGACTGAGAGAAGAGCTACTACTACTAATAATAGTAACAATAGACTAAACAACTACTTGCTTGATAGATTATAATACACTTACAAAAAAAAGAGAAGAAGAATTCCCCATAATTACTAGTGGAAGCACAGAGGAGCAGATCTCTTTAGATATGCATACATACTAGTGAGTTGGTAAATGCCATATATATATATATATATATATATATATATATATATATATATATATATATAGAGAGAGAGAGAGAGAGAGAGAGAGGGGGGAAGGCAGATCCTTAGGAGTGCAGAAGATAAACACTATCCTTTTCATTTGAAAGAAAAGAGGGGGGAGAACACTTGTAATGCATCAATAATGACAGGATCGTCGTCATAACAGTAACAATTGCATTGAGAACAACGCAAAACAAATAGTGATAGTGATTATGTGACGCCGGTAATATAACGATGATAAGACTAGTAAAAACAAGAATAACAAACAAGTGGGGCATAGTTAATCACTGAACGAGGGAGGAGTGTTGGGAAACAGACGACGGTTAAACAGGAGAAGAGGAAGAAGAAGAAAACGATAATACACTTAAGATATAAGTACAGAATTAATCCTTCCCTTTCAAAATAAATAAATAAATAAACAAATATTAGAGAGACAATAAAAATACAGTTTTTTCCCTGTGTACTTATTTTGTAAGATATAGACTAAAAAACAAAAATTGAAATTAATCATTGAGATTAGGATGAGCAGGAAATTATCCTGATAATTCATTGTATACATATATTTGTTAGACAAAGGCGCCTCCTCCTCCCGTCGCATTAAAAATTATTGATTAAGGCAAAAATTAGAAGACAAAAAGTAACAAACAATAATTGAAAGAACTGTGAGAGGGGGGAATAATAAAAAAAAACAGCACAGCAGCACAAGAGAGAAAACAGATGATTTTTTTCTTTTAAAAAAGAGGATGACTACCTGAATTAGTTAGGTATTTGATTGTCTTTTTTCAGTGGGAAATGCTTATAAATAGCACGTGTGCACGGTTCGAAAAATGAACCAGAAAGTGATTATTATTATTATTATTATCAAAAAGGACGGAGTATTCGCACCGCATCGCAATTATTGACACAAAATACATGAGAAATCAGATCTGTTAAGGCGAAACAGTAAGGGAAATGGAGATTGTTTATATAAGTTATGTTAGGCATATTTTATGTAGCAGATTCATGGACAATTTCTTGAGATGCAATATCATAAGAACCGTTTGTTGTAACTGAATTTTGTACAGGCACAGGAGACGGTGAATGGATTGTTGTTGAGTGACACGATACATTAAGACGACATTTCTCAATACGATCAATAACGTCGAGAATGTCTGGACGTAATAAGTGATCAACACTGCAACAATCTACCGCCAGCTGAAATAACCAAATAGGACAGTCTGATGGTATTGGAAGGTTTTCATGATCCAGACCAAAAGACTATTAAAGAGAAAATACAGAGCTCATGAGATAGAAAAACAACAATAAAACAGACTAACAATTAAATGAGACTTATTCATTTAAATGAATGTATAGAAATTACTATTCTGTTGCCTTCACTTCGGAAATGGAGTTAAGTATTAAAATCATTGTGTACAGCTAGCTAAAACATCCATTCACTCATTTGATGGCAAACTCATTATTATCTGCTTAAGGATATGAAGAAAATCCATTTACTTTCACTACACATGGATAACCGGACCGATAGCTGCTACCTTGACGTGGTGGTCGGGCTTGCATATCGCAATGACCCAACGAGCTACACTGGCTAGAACTTATGTTCCTCTTAGCTCCTACCATGCCAGAAAGGTTGTTTGGATAGCGGTTAGACAATAAGTAGCTACCCAATCCAACACTATGTTTCAAAAAAATTCACAAAATATCATGCCGGATCGGTCGGGGTCCGGATTAACAACGACCACGCTTCCTGATGCCGTGTCATAGGGCAGAAGTGATAAATATGTTACTGAGACACACCAAACAAAAAACAAACAAAAACAGGCCGCGTGTGACCGGCCTCAAGCAGTTGTCTCCTGGGCTCTGCGGTCACGCAACACTAACCTTTTTTCTATTTCAGGTACCCGAAGACTCAACCAACTTCCACGGTGTGGGCAGCCGGGAAGTAACAACCACCCACACTTCCGAAAGCAGACGAAGCCTTCCTGAGCATCACTCTCCCTTACTCACATCACCATCCTCATCTTGCTTCTCTACTACAGTTAGCACTATTCTGCAGGCTAGTGAGTCATCTTCACTTCACTCTGCGACCACAAACAACGATGAGAGCCATAGAAACACCCCAGATAGCCTTTTAAAGCCACGTCGCCAACTTCATATAGGAGCTTTTAACGTCAGGACCCTCTGCCAAATCGGACAACAGGCATCACATTTCTCCTACTTTCTTCTCTTGGTTAGTGTGCTAAATGGAGTGTGGCGACTTGAACTGCCGCACATATGTGCAAAGTTCTATGTCGAAAACAGACAGACAGACACATGGATAAAAGTTTTTACAGACAGTACCGTTCAACTACAACCGTCTTATAATAACCCTGACATTACACATAGAACAAAGTGTAATACATACCAATTAAGGTTTAGTTGTAACAACTTCTTGTGTTCGAAAACCACCTAGTACACCTTACTATCTCTCCTAACACCATGGCAACTACAACACACAACAATTAAAAATCTTAGAAGGCGGCGAGATTGAGCAAATGAATACTATTGCTCCTTAGTAAATTATTTAATCTTACCAACACACCAAGTTATAAACGCCAACAAATGACCTGTATCAGACACAACACAACTGACCTAGACATTACAATACACCAGTAAAGTTAATCACAGAGGTTCGATCAATAAAGGATGACTTGAAGCCTTCTTGAGCAAATAATACAGACCGGGCTAGATCAGTGGTGATTAAGTCAAACAAATATCAAAATACTTTTGCATTACCAATAGATTTCACAATATGATTGCTTAAAATATTACACGTACCGATTTCCGAGGGATAAGGGAACAGTCATTAGGAAAACGTGTTATCAGTTCACACACCAAAAGACCATAGGAGAAAATATCTGCGGCAAATGTATACGGTGCCACTCGGTTTAAGCATTCTGGAGCTGTGTAAAATGGATTCCCGACGACTGAAACAGCGTCAACATGATCCCTAAAAAAAAATAAGAGAAAGGACACTGAAAATTCATACACATCACAAGTACATCAGAAATGAAGTGGAAACAATATTCAATGAAGAAAATGTTGTAAGTGAAATCCAAGGATAAAAATGTTCCTTTTTATTTCATACTGGTAAACCTTTACGTCAATGAGTGATGGTATTTCCTATAAATTTAGAAATCAGAACGCATTTACCTAAAATGCTAAATGATGAGTAATACACAAGACACATGTGCCGGAATCCACAGAGAATCACTACCGAAGGTACTTGCTATTTGATATATGTAATAAATAACCCTGTAATCACATTTACTTCTATATAGTTGACTGAAACTCACTTGAACGTGTGGCTGTCTAAATTATGCTAGGTGGTGCGAATTTGTGAACCCCATGTTACAAGTTGGTTGCACACACCAATAAAACATACGAATCTCCATCGACTGAATATGTTCTACATATACCCAACCACAGTATTCGTCGACGAGAAATGTTAGTTATAGCAGGGGTTTGAATACAATAGAGTGAGGGACCGTCAGACCGAAACATGCCACCAATCCATAAAGTCGCTGGCGACTGATTGGTCTGATTTATAATATATTACGATATAGGTTAGTGGCTGGAGTAGTCAGGGCGCTAAGACTCGGTGATTGGAGACACTTGGTGATGTGGCTAAAAATCATTTACAATATCATAGATGTATTCACTAATAATCGCCTAGAGAATTCTGAATTAAATTATTCTGTCATCTAACCATTTTTATGCACTTTTTGTTAGATCACTACTTTTCTGTTCTCTTCTTCTCTTATGTTGTTTGCCTTCTTATAGTGTGACAACTTGAACTCTGTGGATCGAAAGGTACTATGGCAGTGTCTGACTGTGAAGGGAGTGCCAAGAAAGTACATTGCACTAATCAAGGTACTCTACTCAAACTCACGGAGTCGTGTAAGGGCTTGTGGGGAATTGTCATCTGAATTGATAACAACCAGTGGTGTCCGTCAGGGATGTCCACTTTCCCCATTTCTGTTTAACTTCATCATAGATATGCTAATGGAAGTATCCTTAACTGAACTTAATGACTTAGGGATCGACTTGTTACCAGGGTATAGTCTTATGGACTTAGAATATGCAGATGACATAGTCCTGTTAGGGGAGGATGCTGACAAAATGCAGAGTCTTCTGAACACCTTGAGCAGCAATCTTCGTATGCTTGGCATGCGATTCGCCCCTGTAAAATGTAAGATGCTGCTACAGGACTGGACTACGTCAACTCCTAGCTTAGTGGTAGGGAGTGAAGTGATAGAACATGTTGACCACTTCACCTATTTGGGAAGTTGTATCAGCACCAACAGACTGATTGGCGATGAAATCTCAGCACTGATCCAAAAAGCTCGAGCTGCTTTCGCTAACTTACGCCATCTCTGGCGTAGGCGTGACATCCGGCTATCAACCAAGGGACGTGTGTACTGCTCAGCAGTTCGCTCCGTCCTTCTCTATGGCTCTGAAACATGGCCAATACGAGTTGAAGACATGAAAAGGTTGACTCTTTTTGATCATAGATGTCTACGATCTCTTTCTCACGTTAGGTGGCATAATAAGGTAAGTAATCTTGATGTCAGGCGTAGAGTGTTGGGCAAAGAGGGAAAATCAATCGAAGAGGCTATAAAGTTACATAGATTGAGGTGGCTAGGTCACGTGCTGCGCATGCCTAACCATCGCCTCCCCTGATGGGCATTACTAGCTGATATAGGTGCAGGTTAGAAAAGAGTAAGTGGTGGCCAAACAAAAACATGGCCTCATCAATCCATGAAATCCTTGACAGTTAAACTGAGTCACGTAGGGAGGTGCAGACTTCCGGGTTGGGGCCCGCCCTCGGGACTCTAAGAATCAATGGCTGGAGACAATAGGTGACATGGCTCAAAATCGTTGTCAATGGCTTACGCAGATGTATTCAGTCTTTGTATTCTTTCATATTCCTTTCTACCATTACTCATTCTATTTCACTCTTATACTCGTCAAAACTCTATTGATTCTCTTCACTCATCTTCTTGTCTACGTTTGTGTGCTATTTGGAACGTGGCAACTCGAACTGCTGCACTTCGGTGCCAAGTTCTATGTTGAATCCAGACAGACAACTTGAACTGATGTACGCTTGTACAGTACAGTTCCGAGACAGTCAGTTCAGTAAGTAACAGCTATGAAATATATGTAATACCGAGAGGATTTGTGGAGAGAAAGGATGCATGCCAATAACGACTAATCATTTTAGTCTTAAAATTGATAAATACAAAAATGACTAAACAGTTTAACGATAATTGCATTGAATACTAAGGGAAAGGGGAAGCAACACGCCGACAAAACCATGTTTAAATTATAAAACTTACTGACTTAAATCCAAGCATAAACCCAAGTCGGCTACAAGTGCTGTGAATGTAAACGGACTGTTCGACGTCAAAACTTCTGATCGATTTAGGCATTTTAACAGGCATAAATCACTACTACTGATCAACTGCTTCCATTGTGGTTCAATAAGTGGCATAGCCTGTAAACAATTGATGGGAATACTTAGCTTATTGGTACAGGATATTTCACGACTATGATTACTTATAAATGAAAGCAGATGGGCTAAATTTAAACCGAATTCATCAACAGTAGTTGCATCGCTGTCTGAGTTCAACAGATCTAGATAAGAGTTGGATAGTAGAAATTCATCTGTCTCACTGTCTTGATGGACTCTATTATAACCCTGTAGTTGTTGCTGCCGATAGTAGGGATTATGAAGATTATGACGGTGTTGAGATACACCATTTTTATGTGTATCTCCTTTGGTATGTATATCACATTCTGAGATGGATTGCTTTGTTTGTGTACTTCGTTCATGAAAACTATCACGGTCACGGTTAGAAGTTGAATTGAAACCATTATCCACTGTGTCAGGATAAATTCGGGGTTGAACTCGAATAAGGATATTCTGGAAGGTAAGAAATATTTTTAAAAAAAAAAGAATATTTCTTGATTATGATCACGAAAACACTGCCAAATGAATACTGAAACGTGTATTGACAATGTTGTTTCACAACTATTAATTCTCAATTATCAAATCACTTACTTAGGTTGCCGACTACCACCTATCAATAGTCAAAATCAGATCATCCCGTCTGTGTTGCATCTTTTTTAATCAGGTAAACGATCTTTTTGTGCTGGTGGTTGTACCGTTGCTCATCCTATTTACTGTAGGAGCTTAGTTGATGTTAGCACTTTAACAATAATATATACACAATCACTTGGGTATTAAATATCCAATCGACCGATACAAATTAAAACTTTTCATTTTATTCCTCCAGGCAGAACTGACGAGGATATCAAAGCAAGGATGGGGAAAGCAAGACAAGCTTTCAATACTCTCACGTCTGTGTCGATATCAACAGCACTCACCATCAAAAACAAGATCCAGATTTTCAACTCCAATGTGTAGTCAGTCAGTGCTACTATACGGATCAGAGACTTGGAGCGTCACAAAGAGCATCTCAAACACACTACAGACCTTCATCAACAGCTCTCTTCGCTCAATTCTCAATATCAGATGGCCAGAAAACATCAGCAACAAAGATATCTGGGAGCGAACCAACCAGGAACTGATTGTGAAACAAATAGGCAGGAAGAAATGGAGATGGATTGGCCATACTCTGAGAAAACAAATCATCAAGTGACATCACTAGACAAGCCATTGCTCGAATGGAAACCGAAAGGGAAGCGGCGAGTTGGTCGTCAGTGGGGGTGAGGAGTTCATGTGAAGAGAAGATGAAAGCATGTAGGCAGACGTGGAGCCAGGTGAAAACTTTAGCAGAGAACCGAACGCAATGGAGACGAGCAGCCGAAACCTTACGTTCCTCTAGGAATTAAAGGAAATAATAATAATTTTATTCCTTCACGTTCCCACTGGAACATAAGGCTTCAAGCTAGAGGTTTGAAGTTTCTGTAGTAGTGGTGTTTATTTTTACAGGATGGGGTTGGTAGCCTCATGCCCAACCATTCCCCTTTACCAGCTAGCTTTATTTCTGGCTTGGCGAGGTAAAGGAGTACATCAGCCGGGGATCGAACCCCGGACCATGTGCATGGTCAGCGAGCGTCCTAACCACTGTACCACCGACGCACTAATTTAAACTTTCCTTTAGTTGAAACTTACACCTACAAACACTACTGATTGATGAATCATTTTATACTACACCATAAAACGGGTGACGTAATACTACTAATCAAGTAGGTGAAATTTATATATATAGTGCGTAGGTGAAATAAATATAGCTTACCTGAGAAGTTAAATCTCGATGAATAAGATTATGACTACGCAAATGATGAAGACCGTAGGCGATATCCAAAGCCAGGTTGATTCGCACAGGCCAGGACAAGTCTATTGCCTTAGCAGCCAATAAATCCGCTAGGCTACCTCCATTGGCGTACTACAGAAAAAAATATCCAACACAAGCAGGATAGAATGTAAGTGGAGATAACAATTCCAAGGTCACTGCATAAAAAAATAAATAAACAAATAACAACCAACTAGCTGATCGTTCGTTCACCTAGAGAATAGAATCTAACTAAAGTCACGTGACATTCATTCGAATTATTTATTAGTAAATGCATCAGAAGTTGATAGGATCAACAAATAAATAAATAAATAAATAAGTAAATACCTAGTTATCTATTTTCTACTACAACAGTTTTGCTTTTATTTTTCTATTCAACAGAAGTGCATACCCCATTTTGGTACTTTATAAGTAGAAATTATTTGCATATAGATTTAATAATTGATACAAGCTCATATGGAAAGTAAATAGTTTAACGAATCGTCGTATTAAGCGCAACATAGTCAAGCATTAAAACACATTTTCCAATAAGTAGCACCACTTGCAACAACTACAAACTTCTTCTGTTTTTTAATTCTTTGCGTTACGAGTCGAATATAGGGCTTCAAGCTCGAGCTTTCAGGTTACTTGGTGGTGGTCGTGGTGGTGGGGGGTTTGTTAGCCTTAACGCCCAACCTCCCCTCTTCACCCAGCTTGCTACAGGTTAGTCGAAGTTAAGAAGAACCACCCCTGAGCGCAAGGGTGGTTGGCGCGTATTCCACCAATAAACATCACCGAAGACTACATGCACACAATGGAACACTGGTTTTCACAGAACTAAACACAGTCATCGTAGGCTCTTGACAGACCAGAACGGCATGCACTATCATCGTGTGGCGCAACCCACTCAAGAAGTCTCTCGCCGGTGGACCAGGCTTAAGGATAAAGCATCATTCAAAACAAAGCTGTATCTGTCATGACTTATAAAATATAAGTCAAGTACGGAATCCACGGTTAAATGGACTGATATTTTTCGATCAATGCATATTGATCACCATCTTTCTGTGTCTAACGGAGACTACTACTATTTTCTTTCTTGCAAGAAAAGAATTAAAACTCTATGAGTGAATAATATACCACCATGACGGTCATTCGAAACATAATTATTCATAGACGAAGCAGACTAGAAATCGTGTGTGTGTGTGCATGTGCACACAACGTATATATATATATATATATATATATATATGTAATGAGGGAGGACAGAAGTTACGTAAATTAATGAACATGACAGCGATGGAATACACAAGCACATACAAGACAACTTAGCTAGTGGTTTCTGATTAATACCAATTTCTACTGATCTTAGAACATATGACTGCTTACTATTGCCTAAGTGAAATAAGAATTAAACTGATCTCACGTAAGTGTATATATATACAATATATATTCTCGTGTATATGCACGCACATGCATAAATGTGAGACTATAACTCCGACACACCACAGAAGTATTAACAAAAGACAGACTATAGTGTAATAACTGAGATTAAAATTTTTCATTCATAAATCAATGAAAGATAGATAGATAGAATTTAGGACGGATGAGAGAAGTTAACACTATAAGTTTACCATACAACATTAATTACTAACGGTTTTAACAGTGATTATTACTGTCTGCTTCAAATATCGGCAAACTTACTTCTGTTAGACACACAAATCGAGCGCCGATCAAACATGATCCATAGAGTCTGCATAAGATAAGAAAGCAAAGCAAAGCATAGGATAGCATAGTAAAAGTAATGTGACACGTAAAAAACTGAAGAAACAAGCAAATATAATTAATATGAAATTTCTGCAAATTAGTTCTGGCACAATGTATCTAGAAACGACCTCCTAAGAGGTAACCACCCATCTACTTTGTCCTGCTTACCACTACCACCCATTAGAGAATAAAATGTGGAGTACATACAATATACAGTGAGACACTGTGAGATTTTATCAAAAACAAAATTTACACATAATGGAATTACACTCTACCACAGTGCACAAGTTTTATTCTTATACATACAATATAGAAAATTAACGCAATGTATATAATGATCACCATTTTTTGTTAAAAGTTGGTACTAGAATTTGCCGATAATTCTGCACGAATTTCATTGCATTATTCAGAGTTTCAGCCGATCTTAACCTGAGAGCGATGAGATAACCACTTCAAATTGTCAATAAACAAGTGACTAGTAGTAGTAACAACAAAACTGTCAAAGGTTTAAACGACCAGATGATTGTACCGTAAGCGATATTAGTCACTTGTTACACAGTGGTGATCGAAAAAAAAAACAGAAACAAAGCCAACAGGATTTGAAAGAGTATTTCTCCTGTAAGAGAAACCTAAACATCTTTCTTTCTGAAAGCTAACAGTGTCAGTTTTAGCGGATAATACATTTCAATAAGTATGCTGCTGCTTGGCAAAAAGACGCAACAAGATTACTATTGCACCTTTGCAATAATTTAAGCACACTGTTTTTCCTATAGCATATCACATGTGACCAATCATGGGTTCTCACAGTCATAAATGCATTCTTTCTAGCATAACTTTGTCAACTAATTATTCCTCTGTGAATCCCCTAAAAAGCGAAACATGTAAATAAACATCACAGGACACTAGATGGTGATCAGACAATAAAATAAGATTAGTAAACAAAAATTTATAAACAAATTTACTTTGTATTTTTTCGAATATAACAATAAGGGTAAAAAATTATTATTAAGGGTAAAAATTATTATTATTGTTTCCTCTAGTTTCTAGAGGAACATAGGGCTTTAGCCATGCGTCTCCATTGCGTTCGGTTCTCTGCCAACGTTTTCACCTGGCTCCAAGTCTACCCACATGCTTTCATCTTCTCTTCACATCACCTCCTCCACGTCACCCTTGCACTGACGACCAACTCGCCGCTTCCCTTTCGGGTTCCACTCGAGCAATGGCTTGTTTAGTGATGTCACTTGATGATTTGTTTTCTCAGAGTATGGCCAATCCATCTCCATTTCTTCCTGCTTATTTGTTGCATAATCGGATCCTTCTGTGTTGGTTCGCTCCCAGAGATCCCTGTTGCTGATATTTTCTGGCCGGCCATCTGACCTTGAGTAGCATTGAGCGAAGACAGCTGTTGATGAAGGTCTGTAGTTTGTTCGAGTTGCTCTTTATGACACGCTAAGTTTCTGATCCGTATAGTAGCACTGACTACACATTGGAGTTGAAAATCCGGATGTTATTTTTGACGCTGAATGCTGTTGACCTCCACACAGACTTGAGAGAAATGAAAGCTTGCCTTGCTTTCCCGATCCTTGCTTTGATATCCTCATCAGTTCCATCAGCCTGTAGTTCAAACGATGCCTCCCGGGTAGGTAAAGGAGGTTGTTTCTTTCAGATTGTTGTTGCTGTTGCTGTTGGCTAGGAATCTTCATCACCTACCTCTGTTCACCTGAAGTCTTATCTTCTCTGGATACTTCTTCTGCCAACTTGTTGCTTTTCACTTGCATATCTTCCAGTTTGTGGGAAATCAGGCATATATTATCGGCGAAGTCCAGATCCTCCAAGGCTACGCCAGAGATGGCGCAGCCTTTTGTATCTGTGCCGAGATTTCGTCAGCGATCAATCCGCAGGGGTTGAATTGGTCGACACCCTCTACCATTTCACTCCCTACCTTTAACCTAGGAATCAGTGTAGTCCAGTCCTGTAGCCTCGTCATCTTACATTTGACGGGAACGAATCGCATGCCAAACATTCGAAGATCGCTGCCCCTCAAGGTGTTCAGAAGACTCTGCATTTTGTCAGCATCTTCATCTAGAAAGACTATACCATTCACATAATCTAAGTGAACAAGATTATTCCCTGGTGACAAATCGATCCCTGAGTCGCTGAAGTCAGTTAAAGTTAAGTTCATTAGTACATCTATGATGAAATTAAAGAGAAATGTGGACAGTAGGCATCCTTGAAAGACACCACTGGTTGTCATCACTGCAGATGACAAATCCCCGTAGGCTCTCACTTGCCTGACTAAATGAGTTCGAGTAGAGTGCCTTGATTAGTGTGATGTATTTTCTCCGCATTCCTCTCACAACCAATCATCTCCATAGTACCTTATGGTCATCAGAATCGAATGCCCCCTTCAGGTTAAGAAATATGACGATTGTTGGACTCTGGTAAGTATGCATATGTTTCAGAATCTGTCGAAGGGTGAATATATGATCAATACACCATGTTCCTGGTTCTCTCGTGTTTGTTCCTCCCGAGCACCGCTTATTCTTTGCATGATTATTGAGTCTAGAACTTTAGATACCATATTAGCCAGGCTAATCCCCCTGTGAGTATCATAGGAAGACTTGTCTCCCTTCTTTTATATAGGGAAAATCAATGACCTACACTACCCCGATGGGACTACTTCTGATTCTCAGACGCTGCCTAATAACTAAGTTAACGTAGTCAGTTAACTGTTTCCACCATCTTTGAACACCTTTGTAGTCATTTCATCAGGTATCACTGCTTTGCCTTGTCTCAGATTAGAGACAGCTTTTGTAACCACAGTTAGGGACGGAGGACCGGTGTTTATATCCCATTCAAGGATGAGTTAGATGCTCGATAAGTTGAGCGTGGCTGAGAATTACGAAGCAACGCCAAATGAAATGAACAGCATATTTTACACAGGATAAAACTAAGCAATCACCAATGTTGTTGCAGAAAGAAAGTGTGGGGACTGATACATGACCTTAAATTGCACTCTCTTTTCTAAAAAACAATGCTTCAAATTTTGCAGTTTTTGAAAGTCGATAAGTGGACTGTTTGTTTACTCAACAATTTACAGCCAATTCCCTCCCAACTTGTATCTAATAGCATACAATTGTTTGCCTTTCTGTGACCAATAATTCAGAGTCACTGACAAGTAACTATACAGTGACCTGTATCTATTAATACTGAACTGTTCAGTTACTATGATCAGCATCAAGGAAACAATGAGTGTGTGTATGAATACTGTCATATAGGCAATTAACAAAGCTCATATCTTCCAGGTTATTTGGGGGGAAATACTGCTGTATTACATTCACTCAACAGCCTAGGGTTAAGCTTACGCTTTCATCTAGAATAACGATGAAGTATCGAAGAGACAACAATTTAGTGCTACCAAGCTTCACAGTTTGATATGAGGTAGTTTGAAATAACAGGTATGTGTACGTTCCTAAGTAAAGTTATGACAACCAGAAATTTTGTGAATTCTCTTTTAATTTATAACTCACCCTATTGGTTAACATGAATTCGACATTAAAGATCCCTAGAAAATAGGAATTACTGGAACAAAATAATGAAACAACATAATCTATCAGTTTGTAAGGCTAAATACCCATACGTCCACACTGAAGCAGATGGTCGGCTAAAGCGTTTGTTCTCCAAGCTCTTCACCTGAAGCGCAGCCAAGGTTGAATTTGTGTGTTTATACGCTGTTCGTTTTTTTCTCGGTTCCTGAAAACAGTGTATACCATAGGTTTCCAACTCCCTTAGTCGAGGCCAGTTCGGTTCGCTTTGTTTGTGTGTTTCGAAATTTCATTATTTATATCAACGAACGAAAACATGAAGGGATTACTCAGAAACTGGCAGTTTCGAATATACAGACCGGTGCATAACAAATCAAAAAGTTGTACTACAGAAATCGAATGGCTATAAAGTTTAGCTCCAGGTTAATCCAAAAGAGTATATAGAAATATCAGGACTAAAGAAAACTAACATGAAAAGTGACATACCTTAAAACATTGATATGATTTAAAGAACCCAAAAGTTCTATTTCGCGCCGATGAAAGGATGCTTCATTGGTCAGCTTCATAGCCATAAGCCTCTTAGTTGGACGATGATTAACCTTAAAGTAATAATAGAAAATATTCCCCAGCTCACATACCAAAAATACAGATGCAAAATATCCATTTCCGAGTCTTCCTTTGATCACAATATCCTCACAGCAGTAGAGATTTGAAACGGCTTTTTGAATAGCTTGTGCAGAGTTTGTTGGAACAAAATCAATATAGTACTTCCTGTCAGCTAAATTTTCAGACTCTACCATGGTTATGGATTAAAAGTAGACGACGACCGGTGAAAATTCCTAGACACATCTGAAAAATAACATTTAAAGTGTATGTTGGGCAGTGAATTTAGCGAAGAACACGAAGACAGGAGTATATAATTATATGTAGTTTGAAATCATCTTGTAGAAGCATAGAGAAGTTAGTTGAAAAGTAAGTTGCAAACTAGTTTTGAGGCAGGCTCTAAAAAAAAGGAAAAATACACTTTAAAACACATACCAGGTGACTTATCAACGCATAGCTTTGAATCGATTCAAGTTCCTACACTCCAAAAAGGCACACAGAAGTAGACAACAGAAGTGTAACGGATGACCATGAATGGAAGAGTGAATAATTAGATGAAGGTTAATGGGCCGACAACTGCTACCTTGTGGTGATCGGGCTTGAATACCACAGTGCCCAAACAGGCTAAACTGACTGGAACTCATGCTCCTGTAGGTCCTACCATGTCAGGAAGGTTGTTTGGATAGCGGTTAAACGAAAAGCAGTTACCATGATGTACATGGGCTCCAGAATCCAAACGGATCAAATGGCTAATGAATCTGTATTAGTCACCGGTAGCCATGGAAACGCAATTCCTGACGCTGCTCCGCTGCCCTGCTGATTAGACTTCAAGTCAAAGGCTCGGGGTGGTCCCTTAAGACAACCACCTGCTTCGGTCTGGACGGCCGGGCAGTATCTCAGCCCTCACACAATACACAACACAAAACTACCAGTGAAACTTAGCGCGCGCTCGTAACAATGCTCTTAAGTAAAAATGGTATCTCAAGTGACATCTCTTTCCAACCTTACCTTAATTTGTATACATAGACTCCTGTATTTTACCTTTGCTAACCTTGACGTCTTCACTTTCGTCAGCCTTTCTCCATAGTCTGAATTCCCAGCCTATTTGTGACGTTTCGAAATGTTAGTGGGTAGACTTCAAAATGGTTGTCCCCAATGCGACACCTAACACAGATATCCTGAAACCACATACCGCGTTCAAGCTGGCCACCTACAATGTTCGGACACTGATGCAAATCGGACAACAGGCAGGGTTAGTGAAAACATTGGAAAGCCTCGCTATCGATGTCTCCTGCATTTCGTAGACCCGCATTTAAGATCCCAGTGAAGTCCGATTATCCTCTCCATCTGAATGTTCTAATAGTATGTTCTACTTGCGCTTGTTCGGGGACCCTGTGGTGTCGGCATCCGGCGTAGCTGGTGTTGGTGTCGCACTGAGCGCTACAGCCAAAGCTGCATTAATCGACTGGATCCCCATTAACAGTCGTTTATGTGCTGTGAGGCTGGAAGGTTACACGAAAGTAATAAGTGGTAGGCCAGATAGGCCTATGCACCGACAGATTTCAGCCCGGGTGCAATTAAGGATGAGTTTTTCTACCAACTGAGCGATTTCTTGAGACAGGCGCATCCGAGCGATATCGTGTGCTGACTGGGGACTTGAATGCACACGTTTGGTATCTAAGCTCAGAGGAAAATCATCTAGGTGGTCAGTGGGGCTTACATGGTAGCAGGTCAGATAATGGAGACTGTCTTCTGCAGCTTTGCGCAGATCACAACCTATTTCTAGCCAGCACCAACTTCCGGCACAATCATCGCCGCAGCGCTACCCGGCGTCCTTTCTCTGTGAATCAAGCTTGAACTCAGATTGATCATATTGCTGTCAGTTTCCGGTGGTGAGGATGCATACAAGACTGCCGTTCCTTCTGGAGGACATGCTTGGACTCTGATCACGCGTTAGTGTGTGCCAGGCTCGTCTTGCGATTTGGTGGGGTTCATAAAAGGCGCCGTCTAAACGTCGATGTGAACAAATTAATAGCACCTGCTACTTCTTTGAAATACCAGGCTGAATTACAATCACTACTTGCTAGCACACATACCCCTGAGTAGGATAGATGAACATTGGCTTCATCTGCAAGACGCCATGCAAATGGGGAGTGTAGCCCCTTGCGGCTTAAAAGAATGCTCCACTAAAAAGCACTGGGTTTCTGCGAGTTCCTTGCAACTCCTGGATGAAAGTCGGTTCATTCCGGCTGGCATCGAATGCAACAATAAGCGAAAGGCGCTTACGCGGAAGAATAGACAGTGTTTACATAAGGGCCGCGAAGGCTGGTGATCACAATGTGCGTGTGAGATGGAGTCAGCTGCTGCATCTAGCAACAGTCGGAAGCTGTTCCAGCTCATCCGAGCTACCGGCATCAAGAGACAAGGTGTTGGTGAGACGGTCTGTGTGACAGATGGCACGCCAATTGCCAGCCTAAAAAGACGCCTGGAACGCTGGGCATAGCCATTGCGAGAGTCTCGCCATTACTTTTAAAAAGCCAGAGTAGATTGTCTGGGTCGGATGCCTTATGGCATTTTAACACTTGGAGTTCCTTACGGACCTCCGCTTCGGTTGGTGGGTCGGTACTAACCGACCAAGGAGCACAGCAGATACTGAAGCTGGTGGTCAGCTAAACTGTTTCTCAATTCACTCCATATTTCTAAGATAAAGTCAATGTAATCCAGTCCTGCAGCAACATCTCACATTTTGGCGGGAACGAGTCGCATGACCTGATGCAGACACTTTACACTGCTTAATAGGGAAAAATCATGCAGGTTGATGAACTTCACATAAGTGCATTCATTTAGAACACTAGGATGTTTCAGTAGTGACTTAAATAACCTCATGCATATTCAAATGAATTGCTGTGGGCGATTTTTCTACCTGTCAACTTTAAAGTCAAGTGCGAGCTGGTTTGATGGTTCCATAGTTGCACTCACTCCTGCTTGTCAGGTAATAACTGACCACTCCAGCAACTTTATAAAGCTTTCATTTCCCCACGAAATTTAGTACATTCAACCATTCATATGCATAGAGTAACACCACAATTCAAAGCGAATGTCAATCATGACTGAATTGACTTAGCTTCCGCATTCAGACTACAATAGAATATTTAAAGGACATATTATATAGGTCCAAATCCTAAATGAACTATCTTATCAGTTAAATTCTCCGTTCTTTTTTATATTTCCACAACATTTCTGTTTGCAACATGTTTGCCCGCAACACAGCTTTGAGGTTTAAGTACAGTTACACCACTGTCACACCGAAGTAACCAGGTTATCCCAAACATAATTACCACCAAACAGAGAGCTTTGGGGAAACCTAAAAAATTTTGGTTACGGACTGAAAAACTAAGCAGGGAGAACACATTCTACACAGGAATCACATATGAATTATGTCCAGTGGCTTCTTGATTGACGGTTTAGAGAAGTGTGACAGATGTAAGCAGGAGAGATTCATATCAGTGTCTACAGTGATCAAAGATTACTAGTCACAGATGAAAATCTGCAATCAAATGAATCCAGGATGATGAGCAATTGTTGCAGTTTTCGATACAACTTTACACAATATTCTTTGGGTAGTTACTGTATCATCTTCTCTAAAAAATTTACACAAAATCTGAAAAATACATCTGTGGCATTAAGTTAGTTCCATTCAATGAATAATCTTTTGTTAAGGAATAAAAATATTCGCATGAGACAACCGTTCATATGGCTAGTTGTTGACGAATTACTGACGTACTGTCAGGTAGGATTTCTAATATCTGTCCTGAGGCGCATTCCGATTTAAGAAACATTCCCTATATAATCATCTATATCTGGTTTTTCATAGGGATATGAACTACTTATTTGCCGATTTTCATGAAGTAACAGCAATTATAAATGCCGTTTCTATAGGAATGAAAGAAACAATGACAGTTTTCGTTTGGTAACCAGAACGCAATAAAAGAAACATTACTTTATCTAATAACCTTTAAATTCTACTATACATGTCATAATATGAGGAATATCAGTGAAACAAATTATTTACAACATATGAAGTTTGTCAAGAAATAACAAGGGCGCATATGAAACCTTAAAAATAGTGCGAAGCGTTAGAGATATTTAACAAAAACAAAATAAACGACGCTAAATTACGCTAGTGAAATCACAATAACTACCAATTATACGTAAAACTTACAAGCGATATCTAAATAACTTGAGATTTTCGAAATATCGCCAGCGCCACTCTGAGGTGCAACATTGCCAATATTCAATACATTTGATAAAAGCGTGTGTAAATCTAAGCATTTATTCGTGTTGTGAAACTGTTTCATGTTTGAAGTGGAATTTTCTACAACAGATCTATGTAATCACTTGCTGTAAACTTCTTAAATACAGTGAAATATTGGATGTCGACTCATTCTCGGATACCACTTTTCCCCCTAGAATGATGCCACTCCTTGCATCAGCAGTTGTTCTGCAAATAGAAGAACCTCCATACAAGTTGATCCAGCGCATAAAAATGAGGTAATACCAAGGTAGCATAGGGGAAGGACGAGTGCGTAAATTATAGTAGCTGTATAGCAGGATGAAGTGGTTGGTAATTAAATGGGCAATTGATGTACCAATACAACCCCCTGAACCGATATGTTTCTTTGAAATACGCATCTCAGTATCCTATTACAGCTTTCTGCGAGATGTATCTATTGACAGAATTATGGTTAGATAAACTGGTGCTAATTAAAGCACATTATTTATTCGAGGATAAGTAAGTTCGACATTAATTGTGTAACTGACTTACCGTTAGAAACTCTTTTCAGCGAATTCGATTATATATCATTTTGTAGGCTTTTGTGAGCTAATCACTGATGTTGCATCGACTGGTGTTCACTGCACAGTGACATTATTCATCTCATCACTAACAGTACTCTCTATCTACTCTGTTGTATATCGGAAGTCACGGTGCTGCTGATATGTCATTTCTTATACGGATAGGTGGAACTTCTGTAGCAGTGAAGGGTAACAATCATTTCTTGATGAATACAACACACTGAGTCCATCAGTCGGAGACGAGCTCTGATCGCTTACTAATAAGGCATATTATTTGATGTAGGGACAGTCAGGTTTGTATGGCTTTCCGTCTAAACCTAGTGAATACTATCCTCAGTGAATATTTTAAAGTCTTCGTGGAGACAATAGATGTTTAAATCATCGGCACTTATAATCTAGTCAAATCCTATTACAATTACTTCAATTATGTCGAGAATTCCACTCTATGATAAGATAACATGAATAAGAGTGATTACTGCTCTTATATTTCTTACATGCCTAGCAGACCAATTACTCACACAGAGGGACTTTGAGCTCATCTTCTTGTGTGCCACTTACAGACGTCACTTTGACAACCGTTATATGGCCATCATTTTCATGTGAACCTTTTAAGGACACTTAAAAAGGGTTGAATGACTATTCAAGCTGATGCATTCCTAATTTGTGATCATTCTACATCAAACACCATCCAGAAAGCGAAAAGAAAATGCTGTGATCACGCCCATTCAGTAATGGAGGCATGATCAGAAATTATTGGAATTTAAAACGACAAGATGATGGAAATATACGTCTCAGGTTCGGTCATTCTTATCTGTTTCCACAGTAACAGACGTGAACAAACGGTTCATGAAGGTGAATTATCGGAAGCCCCACCTGTCCGATGAGCATCTCCAACTCCCTAGCAGTTACATAAAATAAGAATTTAGGGGCATTGTGTGGGAAACCAACTCACACTTACTCCCAGTAAAGTAGTCATTTGAGAAGTAAAAGAAAATCCTCACCAATCAACTTCTGCACATGCATTGCACAGTAGTATATGACAAAAGGTTATGCGCAAATTAGCAAACAGAAGCTGACATAAGCATTTACTGAAAATCTAGCGAAAAGAGACACTTGGAGATGTAGGATTCCTTTTACGTAGTATTAACACTCAGTGTCACCTTATATATATATATTACCTTTTAGAGACTAAGGGTGTTGACATTCGCGGATAGTATGAAGTATGCTAATACCCACAACTTCTATAGTTTTGGTTCCGCGTAGACCAAAGGCAAACCAAAAGACCACAATTGATTTTCCAAATTACGAACTATATTTCGGGACCAAATAGGAGTGCGAGAAGATTGCCTGACTAGCTAGCGGTCGTTCAAGAACGAACTTAACACGATGGCGTGCCAAATGGCGTGGATACTTTACCGCAAGCTTTCAGATAAACAAATCGACTGAAACAGTGAGGGTCAGCATCCAATGTTCATTGATGAATGCTGTGGCCAATAATTCTGGGGAATTACCTAATGCTATAACTTCACAGTGCTCTTGATTTCCCAGAAAAATTTTAGGGTTATTATCTAAGTGTTAGCTAACTTCTTTCATTACCTGACTTGGATGTTACTTTGAATATGCGTGCAGTTTTATCCTATGCAGATATAATAATGGCTAAAGCAAACTAGGGATACGACTTCAATTGTGCGTCGGCGGCACAGTGGTTAGGACTCTCGCCGACCATGCACATGGTCCGGGGTTCGATCCCCTGCCGACGCACACCCGATATCTATGGTCGGCCTGCAAAATTCGGGCTACCGATATCCATGCTGAAAATTCCATACTTGTACTGAAAATACGGTGTGGCATCAAGCTGTAATCAAAAATAAATAAAAAATAATACAGGCAGTGCTGTCAGCGATCTTGTTAGCGCGAAGTTGTAAAGTTACCAACAAGGACTTTCTGTGGAAAGGATGAATTAAATCCGGTACAATTAGCGAAACAGTTCAAGAGATATTACTACGTACATTTCCGATACTACTGCATCAAAATGTAATAAGAGCCTCGATTAACTACATTCTTCACCAACATCCTGAACATCATAGAAAAAATAGCACAAGAATACCATTCTATCAGCCTCGAAACAGCTCAGTGCATTAGTGCGTTTCTGATATACAGAGACACTGCTGAGTAATAACAAGATACTTCATCAGTAGGGTGAACTGACAGAATTTTCACAGCAAATAATAAAACCAAGGTTTCATCTACGACTTTTCCAGGTCTCGAAGTTTCGGAGGTATTCTGAATTCTTTTCCGTGAAGACCTCTAAGATTACTGCTCCTGTTCTATTACCTAAAGAATCTTTTGCTTATATAGTAGGTAAAGCTGGATTGTAATGCACGCAAAACAACTAAGAGATAACCGCAAAATTCAGTGTTTCGAAAGCCAATTTGCAATCCTCCGAATATCTCTGTTCTCTAGAAGGAGATTTGACGAAGACTGAAAGTTGTATAGCAGCAATGGCCAACTTACCTAAAATAGGGAATTCAAGGAAAGCAGTTTCATGAGTTCCGGTATCTTGTTTAAAGCACAGACAGTATCAGAAACTTAGGGTCTACCATAAATAATTAACACGGATACAATATCTTTCACGTGTCGTGATGCTATTCGGCATTCTCTTTGATGTATTATCAATGAGTTGTGACGTATACTCGAAGAAGGGTCTTAGTTCCATTATGCAACTCCTCTGAAGTCATCGTCCAGATAAACACACATGGATTATCAGACAAAAAAGTATCCGAAGTTAATTGGAAAAGAATTAGATCAGTTTTAATTTCCAGAGTTAGTCCGTTGCTTCGAAACAGACTTGGGTGCTTGTTAACGATCAGAAGTTCTCGACCTTCGAGGGATACTTTGACTTACACTTACGCATCTGCAAGATATTATTTTGCACAGCAACATTCGCCACTCAGTATAATGAATAAATGATCTGTTACAGGTGCTGTCCACAGACATCAGGCCGTGCGGGAAATCAGTAGAAACGTGTAAAGAAGCATTTGATTAGTTGGCAGTCTAAGCATGACAAATGTGTCAATGCAACCTTTTCAAATAGATGTTGTAGTTCTTCAGAATATTTAAGAGAGTGGTTGAGTCACTGATGCGTTAAATTGTAACAGCCTTACTAAACTTGACCTGCCTGAATATTCATTAAATCAGCACACTACCTAACCTTGAAATGCAGATAATAAAGCACAAACAAAAAGCCAGTCGTCCAATAATATGTTGTGATGAGCAATACATTAAAACAGAATAAATTGTTAAGGTCACCTAGGTAAAAGATTTTAGAACTTATCTGTCTAGCATCGCTAAACTACGGACTACAAGGAATTCCATGCAAACGCGGAAAATGGCGGCCGGGAGTAGTCGGAATTATACCAGTTAAAACAAAGGCGGTATCACTGAAGATATCTGCAGTCCGACTATACGCTTATTTAACTGATGCCAATTTAATTCATTTTGGCCTATTTATTCTAGCTACGAGTTTATTTTGGTGTTGTGGAAGAGGCCACTTTGCGTATTGCACTGGCTTATTATTATTGTTCTTTTGGGTCCCAAGTGCAACATAGGGGTTCAACAATACATCCCCATTTATATTTTCTTCTGTCATCTTTAGCTGGCTAGCCAAACAATTGCCCGTAATCTCTCATCTCCTCGCACGATATCCTCTGTGTTTTTCTCTCATCGACGACCCACTCGTCGCTTCCCATTTATATTCCAGTCGAGCGATGACCTGCATTGCGCGTGACTCCTCAACGTATGCCCGATCCATATCCATTTGTTGAGCAACCGGCTCTTGGTTGGTTTATTCCAAGCCAGAGTTTCTTGTTGTTGATTCTTTCTGGCCAGCTCGCCATATGATCTTCAGTATGGAGCCAGCTAGCGAAGTCGAAAACTGTTGATGAAAGCCTTCAGTGGCATGTTGGAAATTCTTTTCGTGACACGCTGGCTAAGTTTCAAACCCGTATGGAGGAATTGACTGACCTGACGTTGGTATTGAAAATCCAAATCTTGTTGTTTATGCTCAGTGAGTGCAGAAGATTTCCAAACTGGTTTCAGGTGGATGAAGGCGTATCTTATCTTTCCGATTCTGGCTGGCTTTGACATCTTCATCCATTCCTCCTGTGGTCGAAACAATGCTCCTAGATACGTGATGGAAGTGACTTCTGTCAAATTTCTCCCGTTGATGATGATTGATGCTGGTGGTTGTTGCTGTTGCTGTTGGTTGGCTATCTTCATCACCACCGCCTTTTCTATGTTCACGAGGAGTCCTGTCTTCGCTGCCCGCCCCTTATACCAGTTTGTTGGTTTTCGCCTGCAACTCTTCGAGTTTGTGTGTCAATAAACAGTAATCATCTGCGAAATCCAGATCTTTTAGAGTCTTCTCATCGATCCAACGTATTCTCGTCTTCTCACTCCCCACATCCTGACACATAATCCATTGCACCACAATTAAA